AACACCTTCTTGAAAATTTTCAATGTTTTGGCCTCAATCACTTTCTAAGGTGGAGAATTCCACAGGCTCACCACTCTCTGGGCGAAGAAATTAGCTCAGTCAACCACACGATTTGTTTGTTTAGGTGAGTTAGGTGGTTGAGGTGGTGGTTAGTCCCTGAAATGTTTGTACAAGGCTACAGTTTTGTTTTAAACAGCAGAACAAAGTCAAAAACAAGTTAGGTAAATATAAAAGACAACAAGATCTTAAACACACAGCAAAGCAATTTTTCACCCTGTTCTCTGACTTTATTTATTACATTAACTCAAATCCAGAGAAATTACACCCCTACCTCAACTCTTACATTTCTATTCAACTGATTATCTTTTACTCAATTATAGGATATGGATGTCACTAGCTTGGCCAGCATTTATAAGCCCGTCCCTAATTGCCCCTTGAGAAGGTGGCTGTGAACTGCCTTCTTGAACCGCTGCAGTAAACTGTGAGCTGTGGAAACAATTGGATGATTATTTTTCAAATCTGCTGACATGAACTTTCTCACAAATTTGAGGGCCTAAACTTTCTCAGCTTCAAATGCCAGAGAAGTGGAGAGTTAACATTTTGAATGTGATGTGACTCTTCTTCAGAGCTGGATTTCTAACCAAACTTTCCTGGTAGGGAAACTTCGCAAACTAAACACTTCTGCTGAGGTTATATGTTCCCTAAAGCACCCAGAACTTCTCTTAGGAGAGAAAGTGACCTTACCTCCAACACAAACTTGATGTCTTAAAGTCATAAAGTCATGGAGTCATCTCATGGAAACAGACCCTTCGGTCCAACCAGTCAATGTTGAACATAACCCCAAACTAAACTAGTCCCACCTGCCTGCTCCTGGCCCATATCCCTCCAAACCTTTCCTATTCATGTACTTATCCAAATGTCTTTTAAACATTGCAATTGTACCTACATCCACTCAGGAAGTTCATTCCACACGTAAACGACCCTCTGTGTAAAAAATTTGCCCCTCATGTCTTTTTTAAAACTCTCTCCTCTCACCTTAAAAATGCACCCCCTGGTCTTCAAATCCCCCATCCTAGGGAAAAGACAACAGCCACTAACTCTATCTATGCCCCTCATTATGTTATAAACTTCTTTAAGGTCGCCTCTCAACCTCCTATACTCCAGTGAAAAAAATCCCACCTTATCCAGCCTTTCTTTATAACTCATACCTTCCATAGTTGGCAACCTCTACTGAATAGAAAATATGCTCAATCCTATATTCTTCTGAACTGCAAACAAAGTTAATAGCCTTACAGATTTACCATTCCTCTTGTAAACCCAACAGTAATTTTTCTTCCCCATTCATACCACAGAGGCCTTCTGTCACCAACTCTTGGATGAATGTTGGATTTAGACACTGTTCTATAATGATTCCCTGACATTGTTTTAATTTTAAAGAAAACCTCTCAAGAAGTATTCTGCCTTAATGTTGAAATCTAAAGGCCAGAAAAGGCGGTAATATATAATTTACACATCTTCACCACAGCAAAAATTAGGACATGCAAGAGACTAGAATTTTCCAGGAAAGGATTCTAATGTATTTCTGGTATTTCAAAAACCCTCTGTTACTACAGGTACACCTTTATGCATGAAAATAAAGCATTTCCCAGGTGAAAGCCCGAATCTTTGTAGTAATTGAGCGATAGAGTGAATGAGATCCGTAGGACAATCCGCCACCCAGCTCCCATCCATAGCCTGTGAAGATGATGTCAGTAAAAGATCACATTTTTATGACCACAGATAACACCCAGGACATGCCCCATGCTAAGGTTATTTTGACATTTCAACGTAGACAAAATGAACAGCTCATTGAGGGATCAGCGGAGGCACAATTATCTAATCCTGTTTTATGACTGGCTCTGCTAAGCAGTTGAGTTTAGGGACAAGCAAGATTGCATGATCTGGATAATTAGATTATTTGTTCTGGACCTTGTGGCTTACTGCTAAGTGGTTTGTCATGGCTGTAAATGTTTGGAAGTGATAACAGTTGTCTGTTTACAATTTGTGATCATCATTATCATAGGCAGGACGCCTGTCTCAGAAACAGTAATTATATTGTGAATTAATAAATCATTTTGACAAGAGAACAGAAAGGGAATTGCCATTATCCCAGTACAGACTAGTAGTTATTGAAAGGGAGGTACCAGCAATTGCAGTACAGACAAAGGAGGTTAGGATAAGTAATCTCTCTTTCCTTGTTGTGCGGTAAAACAGGCTTTTGCAGCTCAATTTGCTTTCTTCTGAGCTGACTATGTGCTCAAAAATGATGAGCTGGCTTTTGAAGTGGGCATTGGGAGCTGGTTGTAGGGCCCTTATCAGGGTCGTGTGCAATCCCTGCACCGCCCCCAAAGCCAAAACCCAACTTATCAGTGTGCTCACCAGTGCATCCTTCTGGAAGGTAGCCTTATAACTGACCATGTCTGTGTTCAATGGTGGGTGGGCTCATAGAGCAGCTGATCCAATTAGAGGGCCCACTGGCCTTAGCCACCAAAGCAATATGTGGGCAGAGAGTGGCAGAGCAGTTTATGAGTGAAAGATAAGCTCCTGATGTTGGTTACCAATCAATGGGAGAAAGCACAGCATCCAACAGCCAACCCTAGATAGACCGCCAAATCCATCACAGTTTCTTGCTGTTCCCATTCCCTATGCCCAAATTAAGGCCATATCCTACCAATTCAATTCCTACCATTCTTTCTTGGAGCTGGTTACTATTTTGCGGTGTGGATTTACACCAACATTTATGACTGGCTATGGAGGGAGTGCAACAAAGGTTTACCAGACTGATTCCTGGGATGGCAGGACTGGCATATAAAGAGAGGCTGGATTAGTCAGGACTATACTCATTGGAGTTTAGAAGATTGGGGAGAGGAGGTGATATTTCATAGAAATCTGTAAACTTCTAACAGGACTAGACAGGGTAAACACAGGAAGGAAGTTCCCGAAGACAGAGGAGTGTAGAACCAGGGGGTAGGTCATTTAGGACTGAGATAAGGAGAAAATTCTCCACCCAGAGACTGGTAAGCCTGTAGAATTCTCTGCCACACAAAGTGGTTGAGGCCAAAACATTGAAGGTTTTCAAGGAGTTAGATATCATTCTCAGGGCTAATGGGATCAAACAGTATGTGAAGAAAGTAGAGACAGGAGACTGAGTTGGATCATCAGTCATGATCATATTGAATGGTGGAGCAGGCTTGAAGGGCTGAATGGCCTAATCCTGCACCTTTTCTTTTGTTTCTTTGTTTCTAAGACCTCAGGATGTTCCAAGGTTTTTTTTGACATATGTGAATACAGCAAGATCCCACAAATAGGTTTGCAATAATGACCAAACATGCAGTGAGTGATGTTGGTTGAGCAATAATCACTTGACAACATTCCAGTGGAGTGCCTTGGGATGTTTTACTGTCACAGTAAAGCAGGTTGTTGTTGCTGTTGCTGGGAACGGGGAAATTATAGTTTGAGAACATTTATCTTGTAATTTATAAGGGAGGATCTGTAAGACTTACAGTGGCATCTTTTGGTAGCAGCCAGGAAGATGACTATCTAATTAAATGTTTGTAATACTGAAGGGCCCATCATCTGATGATTTTCTATGATGACGCTGCAGGTTCAGCACTCAGATTCAACCAATGAGGACCTATGAGTAATGATAACCAGGCCATCAAGTCTTGTGGTTGATTTAATTTATGAGTACGACAAGCTGCTTTCTACGTGCTACAAATTTATCCCTACTTTTTGCCCTAAGTTATCACCAGATGTCATCCCAGTGGTTCACACTGGTTTCCCCATCTTCTGTATTGATCAGACCTCTGACGGAATGGGGAAGGGGATACTGGAGAGTTTGGTGATGGTGGTGGGGAAGAGCTGTCAATAGCTGAGAATTTGTTTTTGATTTGGAATCTACTGTTTAGAAAATGGCCATTTTGCCATTTGGCCTATGGCAGGCCTGACTTGACACAAGCGTCCTCTGATCTCTCTCCTACCCTATCAATATATCCTTCTATTCTTTTCTCAGTCATGTGCTGATCTAGGTTCCCCTTAATGTATCTACTCCATCTACCTTAACTGCTCCATGCATCACTCTTTGCTTATATGGGAGCTGAAAGCAGAAACTAAGTCAAAATGGAGTTGATGAATGATTTCAAAGAGAGATTGAATGAGAAAAAAACAGTTCACCACTTATCAGGACACAGGAAGGAAAATGGGATGTAGTGCTACAAAGAGCCAGCATTATCAACTCAATAGGCTGAGTGGCTTCAACAATGAACATTATGGCCACAGAGCAGGGAACTGGGTGATTATTGTTGGGATGACACAGTGGCTCAGTGGTCAGCACTGCTGCCCCACAGGGCTAGGGATCTGGGTTCAATTCCAGCCTCAGTCTGTGTGGAGTTTGCACATTCTCCCTGTGCCTTCCTGCAGGTGCTCTGGTTTCCTCCCACAGTCCAAAGATGTGCAGGTTGGGTGGATTGGCCATGGGAAATTGCCCCATAGCATCCAAGGATGCGTGGATTAGCCATAAGAGATGCAGGGTTATAGGGATAGGGCGGGGGTTGTGAGTCTGGGTGAGATGCTCTTCAGAGAAATGGCATAGACCTGTTGGGCCAAATGGCCTGTTTCCACACTGGAGGGAATGTAAGAGAAAGCTTAAAACAAAATGTGGATGGAATCTTACAGGGGCTGGAACAACATGGACTCTGGTGAGATTTCAGGCAGAATCTAGCGAGGCCTATCTCAAAGTGAGGAACAAATTGCTGCATCTTTTATGATAATGCTGAGTGGTGAGGTGATTTGTGGTAAGTTGCTAATTAACGGGGATTCTAGTTTCTTAAACACTTCATTAATAGCAAAACTTGCCTCACTAACATTCAGCTTCTTATCAAATGTGCCAAACATCGAGATTTCTCAGAAGTACAAGCGAGTACCCAACGATTTCAGTTCACTGTTGGCTGTGAGGAGCCTCCATGACGCTCAGCACCAAACAGCATCTCACAGGGCACAACCTGGAGGCACTGGATGAATGTATCCAAATCAAATGTACATAAAGCGGGTGAGGAGTCTGATGTCGGGCACCCCCACACCCATCCAGACCTTTTCTGCCCTCTTTTTGGGCACAGGGTGTGAGAGCAGGTGAGGAAGGATGTTGCATGCGATCGTGAGAGTAACAGAGCACGAGCCTTGCAGTGGCAGAGACACAGTGAGTGTGAGGTAGCAGAGCAAAGAGTGTGTGAGTTATGTTGGTGGAGTGGAGAAGGTCATTGACCTCCATGTGGATCTTCTGGCCACTCCCCCACACCACAGATACAATATTGACTGAGACAGTCACCTTGGATCCAGCTGCCAGGGTCCATTATCGTGGCCTCTTCTGCTGGTCCTTCAGGAGAGGGACAGCCCTCCTCTGCATCATCCCTTATATTAGGTCCTCCAGGTCCCTGTTGGTATCTGGGGAGTCATGAATGAATCATAGAGATTTACAGCAGGGAAACAGACCATTTGGTCCAACTCATCCATGCCGACCAGATATCCTAAATTAATCTAGTCCCATTTGCCAGCTTTTGGCCCATGTCCTTCTAAACCCTTCTTATTCATGTCCCCATCCAGATGCCTTTTAAATGCTATAATCGTACCAGCTTCCACCACTTCCTCTGGCAGCTCATTCCATACACACACCACCGTCTGCGTGACAAAGTTGCCCCTCAGGTCCTTTTTACACAGGTTCCCCCTCACCTTAAACCCCATGCCATGGCTGAACATTGTGCAATCATCAGCGAACATCCTTATGATGGAGGGAAGATCATTGATGAAGCAGTTGAAGATGGTTGGGCCTAGGACACTACCCTGAGGAACTCCTGCAGAGATGGTCTGGAGCTGAGATGATTGACCGCCAACAACCACAACCATCTTCCTATGTGTCAGGTATGACTCCAACCAGCAGAGAGTTTGCTCCTAATACCCATTGATTCCAGTTTTGCTACAAAATAATGCAGATGCACACTGATAATAAGAAAAATATAACAAACAATAAAGGTCCAATAATATTTTCTGCATTAGTTGGCTGAATTTCCCAGGAGATTCACCAGAGCAAATAGCACAGATGTCTCTTGGCTGCTGAAAGATTTATTTTTTTTAAAAAAAGCATCTGCAACTTGATTCTTCATAGCAAGACACCTCTGAGCAGTTGCCAGGAGCTAAGCAAACGACTGGACTGGGACAGTGGGGTGGATGAGAGAGTAGATGGTGGTGAAAATTTGGTCAAAACAAAAAGATGTTTAGCAACTTTTGATCTACAGAGAGATGTGACAATTCCAAGGTTCAGGGGCCTGCAGGTTCCCTGAAGTCAGGGATAGTCATAGAATCCCTAAAGCAGGAAGAGGCCATTCAGCCCATTGTGTGAGGACCAACCCTCTGAAGAGCATCCCACCCAGACCAAGCCCCTATCCCTGGGACTCTGCATCTACTATAACTAACCCACACATCTCTACAGGGAAATTTAGCACAGAAAAATCCATCTCAACTGCACACCTTTGGACTGTGGGAGGAAACTGGAGCACCCAAAGAAAACCCACACAGGGAGAACATGCAAACTTCACACAGACAGTCACCCAAGAGTGGAATTGAACCCAGGTCCCTAGCACTGTGAGGCAGCAGTGCTAACCACTGAGCCAACATACCACGCACAAGGCTGGGGCTCATTTTTATCTGATTTCCAGCATCAATAGCTCTTTCAGTTTCTCATTTTAATCTTGCCACCCATGTATAAACTGTGGATGATTGTAATAGAACTTTTATTTCTGTCGATTTTATTAGTGAAAGCAAATGAATGGTGTGGGGAAATCTTTTTGATTGTTGTCCCTTTTTGTTCACCTGATGAAGGAGCAGCGCTTCGAAAGCTTGTGATATCAAATATAACCTGGTGTGGCGTGACTTCTGACTTTGACCACCTCAGTCCAACATCAGCACCTCCACATCGTGGCCTTTGTGTTTGATTATGATCTGAGAAGCAATGTATTTTACTCACCAGCACAACACCCCAACCCCATCCCCGAGCTGCCTCCACAAGGACAAGTATTTTCTCTACACCTGTAGTATCAAACCCTTGCATCACCTTAAACAGCTCCGGCAGGTCATCTCTGTTTGCTCACATGTGACAGGGTGAAATATGTCGGCACCAGGGAAACTCAGCACTGACAACACCTCAAAGGCAATTAGGGATGCGCAATAAATGCTGAAATTGCCAGCAACCCTGTGAACGCACAAAATAAATGTACAGAGACAAAAGGTGAAGTCAAATGCCAAATGGTAAATAAAAAGACATTGCAAAAACAACATGCCAGTGACAGCATTTATATCTGATAACTTGCACAAAGTTATTAAGCGACATGCATGTCATAGCTGGGTGGATACTGCATAACAGAACTGGTGACTACAGGGTTAAAGGAGGATATTTCTTGAGTGCCTGGGACCCTACTTTGTGATCATTTCCGTTATTTTCAGAGCTTAATTAATGACGCAAAGGATGATTACAATGAAGCCAGCAATAAGATTCATAGCATAGCTCACTGGAGACCAGTGTTGCACAGTCACTGAAGTGCAGCAGTCTGCAATCAACAGCTCTCAGGAAATTGAACTGTAAATGGCTCAGTGTTTCTAAGTGACAGAGTCAATCAACTCTTGCAGATTGGAAAAGGGGAGGCTGATCACCATCTGCGTTTGGCGCTGTCCTCAGCTCCCTGTGGGTGTCAGGCTGAGCATAAAAGAATATCCGCTGTCACTTTTTCTGCAGTTCAGTTGCGGCATGTGTTCACCCCGCTCAGTGGACATCTTCAGATCACAAACAGGCTGAGACCGAGAGCTCGCACATCAATCTCCAGGTAGGAAAATCATTATTCCTCTCCTCAAGTCTCTGACATTGTATTTGTCCCCTTCTTGCCCATTGCACTTGTAGAATAGTAGCCAGATTGTCTCCAGCATTTCCAGCCCTTGCCCTGACCATGGAAATATTTATTCTTGCAATGCTTTTGATTTTTACTACAAAGTTGTGCTCTCAACATGATAACACTGTGGCTTTGTAGTGCTCTCTTTTTTTACAATTATTGAGAGCTCTTTGTTAATGTGTCTCCTTTCCATGGCAAGTTTTATTGACCGGCCCAAAAGGACGGAATTACCCTCATCGTTGTCTCAGCCCATTTCAATTTTACTACAGGTGTCTTCTCAACGAAGGGTTCAGCCATTATCGAGATGAAGAAGCAATTTTTTTGCCTAAGTTTACTGCCAAATGTTTGTGTTAAGGGCTGCGCTTATTTCTTGCTGGTGATACTGTGATCATAAACAGGGTCTTGGATTAGGTGGAAGAGGTGACACTTCCTAGAATCCCTACAGTATGAAAGCAGGCCATTCAGTCATTCAAGTCCACAGTGACCCTCTGGACAACATCCCACCCAGGCCCAACCCCGCACCCACCCCCACCCCCACCCTATCTCTGCAACCGTGCATTTCCCATGGCTAACGCACCCAGCCTACACATCCCTGGATACTACAGGGCAATTTAGTATGGCCAATCCACCTAATGACTGTTACCTCCATCCATAGACAGGCAGTATCATCTTCGCCAGCTGATGATGTCTAAGACACAAAGATCAATGCATAAAAGTAACATTGAGAAAGTGAGAACTCAGAGTTCTGTAAAAAGTCAACTGTAAGACATCTATAAAACCACATGCTCAATTTTTCCACCCAATCTAATCAATGGGCACAGGATCACGTTGGTTGGATTGTGAGTACACAATGCCACTTGGTCAATTTTCCTTGATGCCCTTCAGGCAAACTTTACACCAAAAAACATAAAAAGAAACTAAACCTCTAATCTTTAAACGGCTGGTACCCCTGGTGGGAAATGCTCACTGTGATTGTGTTTCCTTTATAAATGAATGTCATTTTATAATCTGTCATTTGTGTGTCAAAAATGTGAAGCGCAGCAAGAAGATGATTGCCAAACATATTTTAATAGGCATAGTTCTCCCTTTAAACTCACTGTTGATAGTCAGTAAGACTGGCTACTGCTTTAGTCTTACAATATTATACTGCTTTAATCTAACAATATTACCCTTGATCGTCGACTAATTGAAATCTTAAAGGTACTTGATATATTAAAAAGTAGACTTGCATTTGTACAGTGCCTTTCACAATCTCAGGATGTCACAAAACCCTTCATAGCCAGCTATGTACTTTTGAACCTGGTCACTATTGTAACCCAGGAAACACAGGGACCAATTTGCACACATTAAGCTCCCACAGGAAGCAATGAGATTATAACCAGATACAAAAACTAAAAGCTACTCACAATGTGTTGTCCTCTACATTGGACAGATTGGGCAACCAATTTGCAGAACACCTACGTTCTATCCACAAAAATGACCCTGAGCTTCCAGTTTCCTGCTGCATCAACACATCACCCTGTTCCCTGGCCAACATCTCTGTTTCAGGCTTGCTGCACTGCCCCAGCGAAGCTCAGCACAAGCTGGAAGAACAGCGTTTCAATTTCCGCTTGGGAACCCTGCAGCCTTCAGGACTCAATATCGAGTTCAATAATTTCAGAACATGAACATCTTCTTCTATGTTCTTTACCCAGCCCCACAGCCCAGGCCCTGCCATGAAATGGACTGTTTTTAGCAGAGCCAATCCATTTTCATGTACTCATTGCCTGCACAACAGCTTTTCTCCTTCCCTGACACACTGTCTATTACCTCTTTGTCTCCCTCACTTTCTTTCTCTATCTCTGGGCTCGATCTCCACCTATCTACTCACTCCTTCACTCCCTCCATCCCAACACCTCTGACCCCCTGTCATTAGCACGAACACCACATTTTCCGAGTTATTATTTGTCCCGGAGAAAGGGTTGCTTGATTCAAAAGGTTAACTCTGTTTTCTCTCCAAGGATGCTGCCAGATCTGCTGAGTTTCTCTGGCAGCTTCTGTTTTTGTTTCCGATCTTCAGCATCCGCAGGTCTTTGTTTTATTTAATGATAACCGGATGCTGCGTGGTATTTTAGTGATGTGGGCTGAGGTATAAGTATTTGTCCTTATTATTAGTGAATTCGCCTGCACTTCTTTAAAATAGTACCATTAGATCTTTTACACCAAATGGAGAGAGCAGTTGGGACTCAGTTTAATGTGCTATCTTAAAGTAGGCATCTGTGACAGTGCAGCACTCCTTTGGTACTACACTGAGTGCCACTCTGGACTTTACTATAAAGTCCCAGGAGAAGAACTTGAACTTAAAAACCTTCAGAGATAAGAATGCTATCGCTGAACCACAACTGACATTTGAATCCTAGATAATTACTGAAGAAAATGAATTCGTAGAAGTGAAGATTAGTAATTTTTTAAATTCATTCACAGGATGAGGGCGTCACTAGCCAGGCAGCATTTATTGTCCATCCCTAATTGCCCAGAGGGTAGTTAAGAGTCAACCACATTGCTGTGGGTCTGAAGTCACATGTAGACCAGACCAGGTAAGGATGGCAGGTTCCTTCCCTAAAGGACATTAGTGAACCAGATGGGTTTTTCCTGACAATTGACAATGAATTCATGGTCATCATTAGATTATTAATTCCAGATATTTATTGAATTCAAACTCCACCATCTGCTGTGGCAGGATTTGAACCCAGGTCAACCAGGCATTATCTGGGTCTCTGGATTAACAGTCCACCCATAATACCACTAGGCCATTGCCTCACCCTAGTCAGGGAATCCTGTTTTGGTGGTGATTTTCTAAGACTTCTGTCCCCACTGTCAGTGTGATAGGCGTAAACCCATTAACCTGCACACCATTAGCAACAATCCAGATAGGGAACAAGGCTTCACAATGTTATTGTGGAATATAGATAAATATGCACTGAGGTGGATAAAGGAAGTATTTAGATGGGATTATTGAACATTTCTTGAGATAACCCAATCAAGGCAAAAGTGACACTGAATCATAGAAATATCAGCAGAGGAGGATTGGTGCTTTATATCTGTGCTGCTCCTAAGCCCATGTCAGAACTCCCTAATGTGTTCCCATTTCCCTTCTAATGCTCTTTAATAGCTTGGTATTTCACTATCCAATAAGGCTTTTAGTGAACACATTCCTTTGACGTTTCCTGTCAATCCCTCCTTTGCAAAGCCCTAATGTATTTCCTCTTACTATTAATTCACTGTTCAGGAGAAAAAATCTCAGACTATTTAAAAACATCTATAAATTTGAGGACAGATTAGATCCTCATTCTAAGTAATTAGCTACACATTAAATTCCACTGCTCCAAAGCTAAACAAAACACTCCATTACACTTTGAAGGAATTTGCCTACAAATAACCGATGAGGCCACTTGTACAACATTGCGCACAGAGTTCAGCGTTTGACTTTCAAAGGAATATTCTTGAGTTGAGAAGGGTTTAACTAAAAGCAATAAAGATTATTCTGGAATGTAGTTTTGAGATGAGATTTCCAGGGTTCTGGGATCTTTGAACAAGTGTAAATTTGGGAGACAATGATGTGTTGCATGTCTTTAAACTATAGAGAGCCTTGAGCCACGAGTACAGAAGTACTTGGCACAAGTTTGAACTGAATGAACCTTAAGTGAGGATTAGAGGAAACTTATTTCTTCACAGAATGGTGAATTCATGGACAAGACTTCCAACAAGTATAGTTGGAGCCAGAATCGTAAGAATTGGATTAGGAAATAAGATGTGTCTTTAAGGTATGAAAGTAAATGTCCAGATGATCAAACAGTTAGGAGCAATATTGTGCTGGAATGTGCAACTGTCATATTATGTAGGAGTTCTTTTGTATTCTTGGTGCTAACCCTTTCTTCTATTCCTCGGAAGTAATGTCAATTCACCCTTTAGAGAATGTCAGAATTGTTACAGCATAGGAGGATGCCATTTGGCCCATCGTGCCTGCACCAGCTCTTGAAAGGAGCATCATCACCTCGTGCTAATCTCCTGCCTTTTCCTCCAGACATTTGCAAATCACTTCTATCTAAATAATCACCCAAAGGCCACTTCAATGTCTCAATTGAATTTGCCTCCACCACATTTCCAAACTGTGCATTCCATACTCCAACTACTCACCAAGTCAAAAGCTTTTTCTCACCTCACCCTTGCACGTCACTTTAAATCTATCTCCTTTCATTTTTGTTTCCTTTTACAAACAGGAATAGCTTCTCCCTATCTAATCTCCCTAGCCCATGCATAGTTTTGAAAACCTTTGTCCATCTTTTCTCCAAGGAGAACATGGAGTATGGAATGCCAGAGGAAGTGGTGGAGATTAGTACGATTACAATATTTAAAAGGCATTTGGATGGGTACACGAATAGGAAGGATTCAGAGGGATATGGGCCAAATGCTGGCAAACGGGACTAGATTAATTTAGGATATCTGGTCAGCATGGACGAGTTGGACCGAAGGGTCTGTTTCCATGATGTGCAGCTCTATGACTCTATGAGTTGAAAGGTCTACTAGTAGGGGGCATGTATTTAAGGTGAGAGGGGGAATGTTCAAAGGAAATATGAGGGGCAATTATTTTCCACAGAGAGTGGTAGGAGTCTGGAATGTGCTGCCAGGTATGGTTGTGGAGGCAGATACAATTGGGTCGCTTAAGGGACTTTTTGATAAGCACGTGAATATGCAAGGAAAGTAGGGATATGGCCCAAGAGCAGACAGAAGGGATTAGTTTAATTTGGCATCATGTTTGGCACAACATTGTGGGCCAAAGGGCCTGTTCCTGTGCTGCACATTGTTATGTTCTTTGTTCTGACAGTCCCAACCTCTTGAATCTATTCTGATGAAGTTTCCCATTCCTGGAACCATTCTTGTACATCGCATCTGCATTC